GAATCCTCTTGAAGAAACAAATTAATAAATATGGCTTCAAGTAATTTTGATGATACCAGCCGGCTGTTCAACTTCGTCGTCCAAGACGGTAATGGCATCAAAGGGTTGGTGGACTTAGGCCTGACAGAGGTGCCGAAGCCCTATATCCAGCCGCCACAAGAGCGAATAGACGAGAGCTCTCACCACCTCCAGCATCAGCCGCCTATTGATCTGTCCTTGCTGGATGGGCCTGACCGTGATCGAGTGGCGCAGCAGATTGTTAGCGCTGCTGAGACACTTGGGTTCTTCCAAGTTGTGAACCATGGAGTGCCTTTGGAGTTGTTGGAGTCACTAAAGGAGTCGGCTCATGCTTTCTTTGGACAGCCACCGGAGAAGAAGGCAGTTTATCGGAAAGATGTGAGTCCGAGTCCCTTGGTCACGTACGGAACGAGCTTTGTACCGGAGAAAGAGAAGGCGTTGGAGTGGAAGGATTACGTCAGCATGAAGTACACTAATGATACTGACGCTCTTCAATATTGGCCCAATGAATGCAGGTAAGATACATCTCAATCATTATTAATCAAAAAAGTTATAGATCTATCCCAGAATTGATAGACCGATCGAAAGGACAAGGACACTCCAACTCGTAACAATTCAAAATACAACCTTCTCAAGAATCTTACAGAAGACAAAAAGAGCATGCAACACCCCCTATCCAGCATTATCATGAGCAAGGCACTAGACACAAAATTCTCTCATGTAGAGCTTTCTCTAGGTCTGGGTGATGATCAACACCACAAATCCAAAGATATCAAACCACTTAATTCTTTGACTTTAGCCCAAATAGGATCTCATATGGTTAATCAATTTTTGACCCATTCTCAATCGCAGAGTAGAAAATCTTTTTAGGTCAGCAAAACGAAACCTTGATCAAGAACGATATATTTGTACTAGGTCTATTGAAAAGTTGATGAGGGAGGAAATTAAAAAAAATAAAAAGAAGACGAAATTACTTTAAATAACATCTGTTATAGTTTTTAACATTAAATGACTCACGGTTGATAGCATATAACATAAACGCCAAGTAAAAAAGTATATGGACATATATATTGAGTAGAAAGAAATTAGTGAACAAAATGGGAAAAGTACATAAATTAAACGATATTAAACAAATTTGTAAAAGATATGATATTGAATTTCATTTGATTAATTTTCATTTTTTTTCTAATATGTTTTATATTTTTTTTTATTTCCCTTGTCCTTCTCATCATCACCAGAAATAATATTTAAAGATTTAAAAAAAAAAGAGGAAAGAACTAATTAAAATGGTGTGATATAAAAAATGTAAAAATAAAATTTATTGAACCAAATTAATTTTTACCATGCCCCCTCTAGCTCCGCCGTGTGCCTGTAGCGAATTACCCTTTGAAAACTTTTTCATTCCCCCATCTCCAAATAGACCGTAAAACTCTGCCCCAAATCTCTTTTCAAGTTTCTTTTAATTATTCTCCCTTGTTTATCAAACCAATATGTTGAAAGAAATGCTTCCTTATGCTCTTTATTTAATTTTATTCTTCAGGAAAGTGGCACTTGAATACGTCAAGACATCCACCAATATGGTTAGGAAATTAATGGAAATTTTAATGGGACATCTTGGAGCTAAACTAGATGATTCAATGATTGATACATTAATTGGCTCCAAGATGGTGAACATGAACTTTTATCCATCATGTCCTAATCCAAAACTCACAGTCGGTGTGGGACGCCATTCCGATATGGGAACACTTACTGTGTTACTTCAAGATGGGATAGGTGGCTTATACGTTAAAGTTGAAGAAGATGTAGATTTTGCTACCAAGGGAGAGTGGGTAGAGATTCCTCCTCTCCCCGGTGCTTTAGTCATCAACGTTGGTGACACATTACAGGTTCAAATCAAAATTTTTATTTTATTTTCATGTTTTAAATATATGCATGTTCCTAGCTAGTTTGTTTCTTAGAATTAATATTAATTGTTGAAATTGTGTCTCAGATATTGAGCAATGGGAAGTACAAAAGTGCCGAACATAGGGTTCGAACCACGAGCGCGAGTTCAAGGGTCTCCATACCAGTATTTACGATGCCGAAGCTAACGGTGAAAATTGCACCATTGCCTGAAATGATAGAGAAGCATGGAATGGCTCGCTACCGGGAGGTTGTGTTTGCAGATTACATGAGGAATTTCTTTGGAAACGCGCATGAAGGCAAAAAGTCCCTTGATTTTGCAGTGATTAAAGTTTAATATATATGGACTGATGATATTTAGCTAGTACTTATGTTTGCAAGTACTGCTGCTAGCACGTTGACCAAGTACTGCTGGTATGGTAAAGTCCAGAATTTGATCAATAAAGTTGGCGATGTCTTTTATTAAACTAAAGAAAGCCTTAGTTTGATCATATTGATGCAATAAAGATGTTGAATGCAAATGGTGTTGCTTTTGATTTCTTTATTTTTATTTTATTTAAATTACATAATGAAAGATAATCTACCTTTATTTCTTAACTTATTTCATATATATATATCATACAATTTAAATTTAAGATTTTTTATTTTTACTTGAAAAAAAATACTATTAATCTATTTAGATCATTAGTTGTTGCATTAATTCAATTATTTTGTTTTATTTTTTAATTTCATTTTTAATATCAACGAAAATAGAAAATAGTTACGTAAGCCATTAACTAGAGATGAGTACCAATTATTTATTTATTTTTTGCAGTTAGGTACTTCCCCCGTTTCATGATACTAATAATTTTCATATAAACATTGTACTAAATACGTTTAAGGAAGATGATTACCATTTTTTTAAAACTTAACCCAATTATTATCGGGCTAAAGACTTGTATAGATTGGAAACCAATGGCCCACCCTTGGAAGAAAAAAGCAATTGTCAAAATATTTGGGTTGTGTTTGTGGGTAGGGTAGCCCAATGGGTTAACCGTGAAAGTTAGGAAGTCAGGATACTATTAGGCCAGGTGATGAATGGTTTTGGGTGCTTGAGTTGGGCCAGATTGATTTTCTTTAAGTGGGCTAGAATCATTTTAGTGGGCCAGGCCTGATGGAATGTTGAGTTGGGTTTGATTAGTAATTGAAGAATTGGGCTGGTTTTGATTTAGAAGTTAGAACTTGGAAGTTGGTTCACTCACTAGTTAGGTCAAGGTATCAAAACTTAAAACATAGGCCTGAAAAGCTGAATGCGGCCATTTAGTTCTGTACAGTCCGCATGATGGACTGAAAAAAATAAATAAATAAGGGGAATTCGGTCTCCAATGGTTAATTTTATACAATTTAAACTATATAAAACATTTCTAAAACTAAAAATTACTCTATTTATTCTAAAATAATTGTAGTTTTTCTATTTAAAATTTGTTTTTAAATTCATTTTCTTTTTTATAATTTTTAAGGGAGATTTTTTTTTTTCTATTTAACTCTATAGTTATCAATTATGTTGATTATCCATTATATCACCAAAATCTTCTACTATTTGTCCTTAATTATTTCTTAAGGATAATGTAGAGAAATATATAATCCCAATATTCTTACTTTGTAAAAAAATTTTAAATTAACAGTTCTTTTTTTTTAAGAATAAAGAAAGTATATTTTATTAAAGTTTCTTTTTAGAATGCTTTTCAGTATTTTAGTTTTTGATTTTTATGTCTCTTTATTATTCTAAAAATATGGAAAAAAGTTAATTAAAATAAATATTATATATATTATATATATTTGAAATATTAAAAGACCAAAAAACTAACATTACAATCCAACATTCCAAGACGAAGCCTAAATTTAAAATAGATTAATCTTAAACTTAATTAATCTAAGAAGATCAAAAGATACACCCAACACGCATGTAGTACTAAACAAAAAATTGATCATCAAATAGGGGTAAGCACTTTAAGTATAAAGGTGTGTCATCCCTTCAAATAATATAAAATTTTCAATTAGGCACAATTTATATTTGTCTAATCATGCTTTGATTCCTTAAGATTATATGGTAGAATGTTTTTTGCAGTCCTTTTTTGCATTCTTTAATTTGTCAGGAAAGTGGCAGTTGAGTATTTGAAGGAAGGCAAAAATATGACATAAGGACCCAAACTTACACAAAATTCAAAATTTTAGACCCAAACTTCAATTGTGCTCAATTAAGGTCCCAAACTACACGAAATTCTCAAATAAAGTTCCAATTGGACGGAAAACTAACTTTTGTCAAATCTCCTACAAACTTTGTTAATGTCCATCACACTCCACCCAACTAGAATGCCACTTGAAAAAAATTATGTTGACATGTCATTACCTTTGCCATGTGGATGCCATGTAGACATGATTATATGGATTGCCTTGGGTGGGACATTTCCTCCCAAGACATTTTTTTTAGCAACTTTTTCTCTCCCTCCCATTAAAATTTCTCGATTCTCTCTAGCTTCCAAGACTATTAAAGTCTTTGGAACAAGAAAAAAAAAACCCCT